ATCTCTCAGGCAGTTCATATAGATGGATACTAAGCTTTTGATCTTTCTAGAGTTGTAAAGGGCCATTTGGTTATCTTTTGGATATGCCTATTTCAGTTAAAAATTTACATCTGCAGTATGTGTTTTCCTGAGGGTTTGGGAAACTCTAGTTTTCAACATTAAAACACTATATGCATTAAAATAAGGCATAAAGACAGAGAATGTGGTGACAAAGGACATAGAAAAGGCTGAGGCACTCAGTGTCTCCTTTGCCACAATCTTTACTTGTAAGATTGGCCTTCAGGAATCCCAGATCCCTATAACCAGTGGGAAAGTCTGGAGCAAAGCAAACTTAGGCTCAGTAAAGGAGGATCAGGCTAGAGATCATTTAAAAGAACTGGACTTACACAAGTCCATGGGATGCACCCAAGAGTGCTGAGGGAGTTGGCTGATGTCTTTGCAAGACCACTGCTGATAATCTCTGAAAGGTCTTGGAGATTGGAGGAGGTTCCTGAAGCCTGGAAGAAAGGTATTGTCACTCCTATCTTCAAGAAGGGCAAGAAGGAGGATTCAGAGAACTACAGGCTGGTGAGCTGCACTTTGATCCCTGGGACAGTAATGGAGCCAATAATCCTGGAGATCATTTCTAAACATATGATAGACAAGAAGGTGACTGGGAGTAGGCAGCATGGATTTATGAAAAGCAAGTCATGCTTTTTGACTGATTTGACTGATTTTTTTGGCTCATCGTTTCAACTTTGTTTCCTGTTTCTTTATTTCCATCTTATTGATCAGAACCTGGTTTTAGTTCAAGATTTAATTTGAGCACTTATCATTGAACAGAAGTTCTCAAGTATGCTTTTCTGGTAACAACTCACCCAAGAAAACAATGTTGCCTCTCTGCTCTTTTCACTTAAAAGTTTACTTTTGAAGTCAGATGATAGTCTATAAGTAATTCTGAGTATTGATGTTGTTTGATAAAGCCTCAGAAACATCTCTAGTAAAGTCATCAAACAAACCCCTTTTATCCTTATGGTCTGTTAGTAACATTTTACATTAAATATCTCCATGCTTTCTATCCATGCTAAGTAATGAAACCTGGAAGAAGTTCTCTGATCTTCTTTTACCATCTTACTGGGGACGCCACTATTTGCAGTACAGTTAAATGTGGTTACGCACCCGGAATGTTGTGATGTTGCCATTTGGAATATCAGATCTGCTTTGTTTTAATCTTGTTCTTTCCCTGTTGTCTTTTGTCATATGGAATATGAAGGGATTGCACTGGTTGAGGGTTTTTTTAGCATTTTTTATGCATTTCAGCCGATCTATCTGAAATATTCTGTCTGAATATGTACCATTACTCTGCTTCTACCTGAAAGAAGCAAACAAAGAATTGAGTGTCAAAGATAGCAATCACAGAGGAATTGAGGTATAACTCCACTGTCGTCGTGGGGGAAGGTAGCTACTTCCCTGTCTGCATCCTGACAAGAGTGGTGGCTTCTTCTCATAGTGAAGCTTAAGGTGCTAAAGGAAAACCCGAAACCATTAGGACCTGTTGCCTCCACATCTAGTAAAAAGGTGGAGTTGAGTGATTTATTAGGGATTGCCTTCACACCTTTGAGCAAAGAGGCAAGGAAGGAGAGGCCACTTTTTGCATTAAACAACATGAAACAGGAATGGCAAAATGTACCTGCCAGCAGGCTTAAGAGGAATGCAGTGTAAAATTCTGCTGCTATTTTACACCTGTTTCTCTAGGAGATTAAATAAAGGTTGGGAAATAATTAAAAGCATTTCAGAGATCTGCAAGCTTACCAGCGTGAGCAGTTTTTGGTCCAGAAACTAGCTTGAGGAGTGATGGAGTTACATGTTCTTAATCTAAAGAAGGTCACAAAGACCGTGCTTTGGTAGGGAAGTTTACACTGAAGGCACAAATAAAGAAGGGATAGGGGAGAGCTAGCCTAAGAGGGGTAAGGACCTTACTCCTTGGAATGAGGTTGTTCTATATGAATACAGTGGCTAACATGTTGCGAATGCCATCTCCCTGCCGTGTGTGAAATGTGAATTTAGTACAATTTATTAGGGCTTGCCCTTCCCTCACTAGCATCAACCACTAAAATGTGAATACTTCTGTCACTGGACATAGTCACAAAGCAGTGTTGTACAGCCTCCCAGTTTAGTGTCTGCTCAGATTGGGCACTCTGAGACAAATCTTTCCCAATAATAAGGAGCTAATTTCTGCACTGGTTTTCTTTTATTGAGTGCTAAGGTCAGAAGTAGATGCCTTTATTTGCAATGTTATCCCATGTGCCAGTTTTTGCAATGAAAAGCTTGAATAATACTGACAGGACACTGATAAGTGTCCTGTTTTCCAGTTTTTATTAGAAAAATAGTGAAACAGCTATATATGCACAATATTTTCTTTCCAGTGTGCATTGGTACTATTATTGCTTTTATAAAACTCTTAACTTCCATAAGATTTATAATTTGCTTGTAATAAAATACCATTTTATGACATACGTTAGGTTTTCTTAGGACAATATTTTTTTGCAACAAAGCAGTAGTAAACGGGAAAGGGAGGAGCAAGATGTTTTTGTTTGAAAATATGTAAGTTAAAAAAAGCTGGAGAGCTATATGGTTGACTGCATACTGAAATGCTGGAAGAAATGTTACTAAGTATGGAATTACATCATCTTTCCTCTATACACAGAAAAAGCCCAAGGAAATATAATTTGTCATAAGACCTACACTGCATAATCTGAAATGCCACTTTAATGCTAAGAGCAGAAGAATTAAAAAACCCAACTAAACAAAAAGCACACAAAAACCCCGAGTCTACAGAAAGTAGTCGTGAGCAATTCAAATTAAATCAGTTTTTTACAGAAATAAAAGAAGAGTGAGGAGGAAAAAAAATCTTTATTTAATAATTACAGTTCAAAGAGAAAAAACCAACAGTGCATAGACAGACAAGAGTGAATACTTGAATGTTCCTTATCTCTACAGAGAGTTATGATTATTTATAAAATCTGACACTGGAATCATAAAAATTCAGTTAGTGCCTTTCTTTGCCTGCTGATCTGAATCCCATTTCCTTGTCCAAGACCGCAGAAAAGAGCTTGGCACAGAGGACTCCCACAACACACAGAAAGGGAGAGGGGAGAATAGCCTCAGCTCCCTCCAAACCTGAGGATCTCACATAATGATGTCTGCTGGCATCACTGCAATGGTTTCAAACATGTGGTGATGTGTGCTTACTAAATGACATGTTTTTCTGAGGGCTCAGAACAGCCACAGACTCTGTGAGCCGGAAGCTGGATTTCAGACAACTCCTTGAGGTGGCAAAAACAAAGACCCTGCTTAGCTGAGCTGAAGCAGGATTGATGGACTTTGTGCTAAGACTCACATTGTCCTGCTTTCTGTGGTGCAGAACACTGTGTATTGGACTTTCTGTAGAGAGAGAGGAAAAAGATCCAGCTTCCTCAAGGCTGGTGTCGAGTAGAGGGAGGCAGCCACAGAAGCAGTGGTTGCCCTTGTCCCAAAGGAACAGGCTGGGTCTTTCTTGCTGCCCTTATTTTCAGATGTTACATTCATTTCTGTGATGCAGATATTTTGTGAGCTGAGCACAGAGCTTTAGAGTGAAAAAACAGATCAAGCTCTCCATGGTTTCCTGACTACACTGAAAAAACCTAAACCAATCAAATTCTACCAAGACAGAGGTTTACTTAGTATTTCCACTGGGCAGTTAATGTGAATTGCTCCTGTTATGAACCATCTGCAGGGTTTTCAGGAAGATAATGTTAAGCATGTTCAAACCAGACAGAGCTGAAACTGCCTGGTGGAGGTGCTCACTGGAGCTTCGTGAGTTTCGGAATAATGAAATGGCACTCATGGAGTGAAACAGAGATTGTCTTTTTTTACAGAGAAAGCAGATGTATGTATGAAGGCAAACTAAGTGAGCTTCAGTGTCAGGCAGATGGAGGTTGGAGCATGTATATGTAGAGCACAGGACCTTTCTGGCCATCCGTGATAACAGCACATTAGAATATGCCTCTGGTGGACCTCAGTGTTGGCTATTACTCAAATCCGTAATAGTTTAGGACTTGCTAGCTGAGGGGCTGTTTCCCTCCATGTGTGGACCTCACAGTTATTTGTGACTCATAAATCCATAATAGCTCAGGACATGCTTGCTGAGGGGCTGTTTTTCTCCATGCGTTGTACTCTTCCCTTTGCATGCAGTAGAGTGATTTCCAATTGATATACCCTGGTTTTGTAAGGAAGGAAATTGGTGGCAGACTAGTCAGAAGTGTGCTGCAGCCCACTTGAATTCCTGATATTTCAGTGTTTTTTAATTTAAAATTGCAAGGAATCTTTAAACTTCTGAGTTCACTTTCCAACTCTTGGCCTGAAATAGTTAATTTGCTAAACTACAGCTCATGTTGCAAAGCTGATTTGCAGGCTTGTTGCTTTGAGAATGTGCCTTGAGCATGGAGAGACTCCTGTTTTTGTAAGAATTGTTGAGGTTTCACTGTTTTGTTGTTTCTTTTTTATGGCAGAGTAGTTAAGAGATGAGGATAAGTGTCTTTTGTAGTGTGGACCTGAAATGTAGATATAGATACAGACATAAAATTAAACAGGAGCTTAGTGTCAGTACTGAGCATTAAAAGCTGTGGAAGGTACTGTACTTTTCCACCCTCACTGACATGCTTTACCGCTCTCCTAATACTGGAAAAACTATAATTAACCAGTCAAAATATATGGAGTCAGATTACTAATCAAACACTCATTTGGGACTAAGTCCTGGTCCTGCTGAAGTCACTGGAAACAAGCGATGCAGAGAACCTCAGCTGAAGTTCTGTGTACCTCTGAGGACTGGGCCTCTCTTTCCAGAGAACTGGAAATATGTATTTCAGATTTGCCTGTGGAGGAAATTGTAGCATGACAAGACGGGGACATCACCATTCAGAAGAGCTATCTTGGATGGAAATAGCCATTGCTCTGATTATAGCTTCCCTTCGTTCTTCCAGGTGTGTCTGCTCAGCTGACCAGCACTCGTCTCCGTCGGAACACCTCCGTGGGCACCCCGTTCTGGATGGCTCCAGAGGTTAGATTCGTGTTGTAGAACATTTTGTCACCGGTATCCAAGCTGCTCTGTTGTGCATTTCTGCTCTTTCTTTGTCTTTCTTCCTGACCACTGGTCTTTTCACCGAATGAAACAGCAATACAATATTTTTTTTAAAAGAGTTTAAAAACTTTTTCATACATGTTTGCAAGTTAAAATGGGGTTTACTTTTGAAATTACAAGCTCAGAGCCAAGGAGCAAGACATTGAATGGCTTACTAAAATGTTTAAGAGTATAGAGTACTGCTCTTGATACTTTCCAGCCTTCCAAGCTCTGAAACTATGGGTGTTTCATTTTCTCATGGATGGAAGGAGTGAGCCCAGAGTGATACTATGATGCATTATAGCTTTTATTTTTTGACTTATATACCTGGAAAGTTTTTAATACTGTATATTCATAGAGGACAGCAAGAAATGGAAGAGGTTATTATGAATGAAGATGTACTATGATTCTGTGGAAATTTTTCCAGCCTGAAATTGAAGCATATAAAGATACATTTTAAGCTGAGGCAGGGAAAATATTTCCTTATAAATAAACTTACCTACTTACACTATTTGTGTCCACACAAGCACATGCAAGTACATCTGTTTATAGCACATGAAATGACTCTGTTTATACACATTTTTATCAACATACTCTGTTTATTCACATTGCTGTAACCATGTAACTAATGGCATACATGTTGACTTAGATCTGCAGCTAATGGGATGAAAAAAAAAAATCTAGATTCATCCAGCATTGTGGATGAGCTGAAGTGTATATGAAATTTAATACCTTTACTGTGATCCAATGACAAACACTTTGTCCAGATCTACTTGATCTGGAAATTGGCTACTTTGGCTGAATAAGGACCCAGCAAGAGATACAGGATTCAGCTTCTGCTTTCCAGCTTGTTTCACTTCATAGAGAGAGCAGCATAGCTCCATTAATTACTTTGCAGGAATAATCCATTTAACATAGCTGTAGGGTTGCTGAGCTTCCTTCTACTTCCTCAGCCATGGGATGCAGTTTTACCTGAAAAAGCCAAGGATTTGCAGCCTTTTGTCAAATCAAGGAACATCTGGCCAGAGAGCCTGGTGTTCATGGACACTTGCTTTCTCTAGTTTAAACGTTGCTTTTTCTCAGCTTTCTAAATATGTGCATGTCTGATTATTTCACCGAATATCTTCATCCTGTAAGAGATTCCCCCAACTCTGGGAGTACTCTTACATCTGAATATTTGACCATCCAATGACTATCCCAAACTTTTACTCCAACAGGTGATTGCCTGTGAGCAGCAGCTAGATAGCTCCTATGATGCCAGATGTGATGCATGGTCACTGGGTATTACTGCAATAGAGTTGGGAGATGGAGATCCACCCCTTGCTGATTTGCACCCCATGAGGGCACTCTTCAAAATACCAAGGTAATATTTTCATCTGTTTATTTCTTGGCGGGTTAGACTGAACTTTTTTCTTTAGTGTTACTTTTCTTCAAAGTTAGACTGTGTAAGCTTGTGGACTTTCTTTGTATTATTTATACTAGGAGGAGGTTAGAAATACTTTGTCCAGCTGTATTTTCTGCAGGCTCTGCTTCAAGCATGTGTGCACGTTGAGAAGTTCAGAGCTGACTGTAGCTACATTTGAGAAAAAGTTGTAAGGCCTTCTCCTGAGGCCGCATGAGTGCAGGACTTAGCTGAGTCCTGAATATTCTTTTACAAAGAATGACTTATGATAGGAATATTCTTAATATGCTGCTGTGCTGAACAGGTCCCATACCTGATTTTAGGAGTTATCTTCTGTCCTTTGAAGCAAAGGTTGTTCCACTACTCACATACAATTAGGCTTCAGTTTTTATTAGCTTGTGCTGCTTCTGGCAGTTCCACTATTGCTGTCCTTGGGCAGTGCAAATAACAACTTCTTTTGTGTTTTCTTTGAAGCTGGAGATAAAAGTACCCAAAGTGCCACTTACAGCATTTCAAAGAACATGAATCTCCAAATCTGTAGGGAATGCTCATACTGTAGTTTGTGGATTTCACTCTAACAGCTGGAGCAGTACCACAACAACTGCTGAGACCACATGAGTGCTTTGAGTCCTTTTCAGCCAAGACACCCAAATTAGTTTAAATTACCTTTATGTTCTAGAAATCTTGGCTGACTTGACACTGAAGCAGAGTATCAATGCTCTTCTAACCCTTGCTTCCTATGGGAAAAGCAAACTATTGTGGTCAGTCATTGCAGCTAGGACTTCAAAAATACTTCTGGCTTATACCCTTACAAGTACTGGGCACCTTTCTGCCCTGGAGCAAATACAAGATCAATACCCTTTCATTACATTAGGTAAAACCTGAAAGTGATAGACTGAACGTTAAGCAGCACTTAAAGAAAAGCAGTTATGACGATTGAAAAGAGACAGCAAGTCATTTTGTCTGTCGGTTGTTCATTTGTCTTCATGACCATACTCTGTGAAAATCCCACCTCTGAATGCAAGAAGACTGTCAAGACCATTTCAACCGAATTACACCTAGAATAAACAGCTTCAACAATAGGAAAGAAGTCGTATCTATTTACAATAGATCTGTGTTTAGACCTTAATTTCTGATTATTTTCTGAGGAATGGGAAATAATTAATAATAAGCCAGTTCCTTCAGACACTTTGTTCAGCAAGTTAATTAATTCAGTCCTTCTGGGAAAACTTAAAATAGAATTTCTTTTTAAAAATTCTCTTAAGAAAGTATATTGTTTCAGGCTTGAAAAAAGAAACCTGCCATTACAAGTGAATAGTGATTAATGGATTGTTAGTTTAATTTCCGTTTATTGATTTGATTGAAAAAATTATAGTGGTTCTCAGCTACGCTTTGTAGATCATCTCGATGCTATTTCTCCTTATTAGTTACGTAAAGTAGGAGAACAGTGAGGCATTGCATCATCTACCCATGCTCCTTTTACCAATGGAAATCAATATCTTTTTTCGGTAGCCTTCTAAAACTCATTACTCAGCCTGCCTTCGCACATTGTTTTTGTCAAGTGAGTAGCTTATTAACTTATCATCACACTGATCTTTGCAGAAATCCTCCTCCAACACTACAACAGCCTGAACTGTGGTCACCTGAATTCAATGACTTCATTAACAAGTGAGTAACAACTGAGACCGCTCTTTGAATATGGAACGTGGAAATGTCATGTGTAAAATATCTCTGTATTCTTTGTAGAAATCTGTTGCAACTAATGCTCTTCTTTAAAAGCCAAATTTGTAAATTCAGTTTGACTTCCAAGTGAGGCTCTAGATTTAAAACATGAAATAACATTTTAATTCACTGGAGGTTTCTTAATTTAAAGAATATTTAGTTTTAAAATGTAGTAACTTAGCTTCTTGGACTCATCAATTCTGTGAAATCGTATCAATTTTCAGTGCAGAGCTGTTTTGATTAAGATGAATGTATTTATTATGGAGTCATGAATGAACTCCAGACAAGAATTTCAATGTTTAACTGTGAACTCTCCATGATCTTATGTGTTTTTCTGCCAGCACAGGTGCTTGACTAAAGATTATGAGAAGCGTCCAACAGTATCTACTCTTTTGCAGCATGATTTTATTAAGCAAATTGAAGGAAAAGAAAACGTGCTACAAAGGCAACTCATGGAATTTATTGATGTTCATCAACAAATGGGAGTCACTGAAAAGGCAAGGTAAAAGTAGCTGAAAAGTAGACTAGCTGGGACAGTGTTGATACTTTCACTGTTTCAGAATGGCTAGTGCCCAGAGAAGGATTCAGCTCTTACGGCTTTAGCTGGCCAAAAAGTAGAAAGCTTAATATTTGGGATCCCAGTACAGCCAGTGGGAAGACAGCAGCATGATTCATGAATGGGATGAAACAGTCTTTGGAACTACCTCCCCTTTCTCCTGTGACTCAAAATGCAGCCTTGGGATCCAAGCTTTTAGAAAGCTAAGGTTGGGTGAAATTAATGTTTGGCATTTTCTTACATTTGCGTGGTCATCTAATGTTTAGTTTAAGCAAGTATGCTAAAAATAGCTAGTCAGCTTCCTGCAGTAATTGGATTTTCCTGACTGAAAGAAATGATAGTGGTAGCAGACCTTGTTCTGCAAACTTCAAATCTTACATCTTATTGAATAGATACTTTCTTTCTTCCATTAGTATTTAGTAATATTAGTTCTGAATAAATCACTTAGCACCCGATGGCCTTTATTTAAAATACTTGAAAATGTCTTGGCTCAATTTTACAATTGAAAAAACCCCACCCAATGCACTGATGTATCAGATGTGAAATGTAGTTGATTAGCATTGATGTACTCCTGGTGTGACTGCTCCTGTGCTTCAAGGTAAAGCATAATGATTTTTCTCTTTTTTAAAATGGAACATGAATTTAAAAAAAACCATTTTGTTATTATCATTTTTATGGAAAAAGCTTATTAAAATCTGCCACACTTTTTTTCACACATTTATAGTAATAACATATACAGCAGTCTTCAGTTCTAATTTTGGAGAATTTTCTTTTATATACATCTATTATAATATTTCTATCCTCTATGCTTTGAGGAGAATAATAAAAATATATTTTGAAATAATTTATTATATTCAAGTTTTCTTTGACTTTAAATGAACATGGGATGAGTAGTACTTTCTCTTTTCTGGCATTGCAGTAAAAAAATATGCAGTTGGCTTAAATTTGAGCCTCAGGTTTGCATGTTCTGTATATTGCAGACTTGACATTTCCTTAATCCAGAAAAATTCTCAAATTGAAACAAGCTTATCAGATGTCAGTGCTGAGCACTAAACCAACAACATAATCCAAAATTTTAAAAGTACTTATTTATAAAGCCCAGGGAAATGATATGTGGTAAAATAAGTCCAAACCACTAAATTATATGACTTAAAATCTTAATAACACTTGTGATATTGGTAATTTTAAAGCCTAAACAATTTTTTAAAAAATCAAGCTTCTTAGTCAATTAGATACTGTGACCTTTTTGACCCATTTTGTAGAACTCACGTTTGTTTTATATCATATTTTTAAAATCCTTTTTTTTTCGTGTAAATGCTGCCTAAAGCAAACTACATGAACTTTTTTTCCTGTACAATACAAACATAAAGTGGCCCAATTAGCATGTGCATAAAGAAGTCAAGTGGCACAAGAACAGAATGATCTGATACTTTCTCTGTTCTGTTTAGACTGTGTTTTATAAACTTATGGCTCTTCATGCAAACTAGAGTTTAAGGTTTAAGGGAATGTATTAATATGTGATGAAGTTACCTATGCTTTTACAGTTATTCAAGTGTAACTTCTACATAAATTTTCCCAAAGGAAAACAGAATTTCCTCTTTCAAAATAATTATAATTTCTTATCTGAAACCATGCCAAAAATTAATTATTTAACCAAGAGTGTAATTTAGATGACATGGTTAGACTGATAGCTTAGTCCATATTTCAGTTTAGAAGTTAAATACTAAAAATTAGTATTTCCAACCTAAATGATTCTGTAATTTTGCAAAATATGCTGTAAGACTGACTACGGAATAGCATTTGGGGTTTTTTCTGCTGTGAATGATGAAAGATTATACAAAGATTTTTTAATTCAGTAGCCATACTTTTTAAAAAGACTTTATGTATCTTCTGACCTTCAATCTGTACAGAGCAAAAAAGGTGTTTAAAGCAGTGTCTGCACAGAAGTACCATGTAAATCCGATTTAGAGTCAAGACATGAGCTAGTGACAGGGCACCTGGAAGAGCTGCATCTTAAAATATCTTTGCTTTCCTTTCTTGCTTATGGTGTTCTGGGACTGTTTTTACAGTGGCAGTTAAGGTCCCTACTGTGGAATTTCTGAACTTTCACCAGTTGCTGGCAATGTTCCTTGTAAACCTTCCCCCTGCTCTCCAGGTCACGCTCTCAGTCCATAATTTGAAGGCATAACTCTTCTCTTTCTTGGCACTGGGAAGCAGGTAGTTTAAGGGATTAAAGATCTCTCCCTTCCAGCAAGGGAAGAAATCCTGCTACTTGTGCTATGTTGTATAAATGGGCATGGCATAAAAAGTCAGTAAATTTGGTAATGTTGAATTAAAGCTGAAAGTAAAGAATCCAGTTATTTTCTCAGTATGTGTTTACCCTCCTCGTCAAATTCGACCTTATTAGTAGAAGTTTTGTATTTCAAAAGAAAAAAGAAAAATACTTGGAAATTAATAGCTGAGGTCCAGCCACTGGGTCTTCCTGTGTGCACTATTCCTGTTTTCACTCAAAATCAAGTCACCTTCTTTTCTCATTTTGCTGAGGTGTAATTTGGTTCTGACTGCCTTCTGCAGTGGTAGTCTGTTTATGTGCTTGTGATCTTATCTTGTTTGCTGAATGTGGAGTTGATACAGTTCAAAAAGAAGAGCTCACATTACATTATGTCACATTCTCAGGGGGATTTTTTTTGCAGGAGGCCCAATTCTCAGGTCCTATGTTTGTGCTCAGGAAGGGTGTCACCCTACAGTCACTCCCATTAGCACCACTGTTCCTGAGGTACTTTCTAACACTGAGTCACTGATTCATTGGGGCCCAGTCAACTGCACCTTCAGAACCTTCCTATTATTGTTATTCTAGTGAAGAGGATCCTAGGTTTAGGTTCTGCATTGTACTGCATCCTTTCAAGAGATGGGAACAAGAGAAACAAGAAGAGGAAGAAAGCCCACCAACCTCCTCAGTAACTGAAGAAATCTTGATTCACACTGATAAAACTTTAAATGGCAATACGCCATAGCCCTGCTCCAGGGAAAGTGATGGAAGATAGTACTGGTTTTTCAGTAGCTTTTGAGCAGTGTTATAGCACTGGCATATCTTGTGCTACTCAAGGCTCAAGAAAGCATGAATGCTAGTAATGAGCTTCATTACTAATTCCACTTTTTAACTTGGAGCAGATGCAGTACATTTTTCTCTAAAATCATTGCTTCTTAGTGCTAAAAATGCCTCTTTGCAACTTAACCATTGCTAGCTTAAAACTCAGGCTGAAATTACAATGGGAATAGCATGAGAAAATACCCCTTGATACATTAACACTTTCCCATATCATCTCTGCTGAAAAGTCTTCCAAATCTGCTGCTTGGAATGATGAAGATAAATATATATATTTATATTTGTATATATTTATATATGAGATAAATTCATGTTAGAGAAGAGGTGAAGCAGGCACAGTTGCAGACTAAGTGCAATTAATTTGAGGGGGTGGTGGTGGTTGTGAGGAGAGTAACCCTGCAGGACAGGGTCCTTGAGCTTGACAAGGATCTTCATTGGATAGCTGTTAAAAGGTATAATTACTGATGAAAATAATTATTAAAACTGAGCACTGCAGCATATACCCCAAAACCATTCTAAAAATACACTTCTTGCTAGGCCAAAAGAGGGGAAAAAACTCTTCATTGTAAAGAGTTTTACTTTGCAACAAAAATAGCTGTCTTTGAAACAACCTTCAGAATTGTCGCATCTACACCTGACAGTCAGGCTTGTAAGACTTTTATCTTGAGTTGTTTGGCTGTCTTATTCTTGACTGCTTTTACAATAATCTCTTCAGAAATATGCAATGATTAGTACAACGTGTATTTCCTGGGATTTGTGACTCATTCCAGAATGAGCTGTATATGCAAGGGATTTCAGGGAATGACTCTGGTTCCCAAATTAAGAGCATCATCTTTATATACTCTCTTTATAATTATGGGAAAAATTCCCATTATCCTGCAAAGTGATGCAAAGTTTTGTGTGAGCTGAATTATTCTTTCCAGAGTTTGTCCTTCTGTATTGGCCATGTAGGGATAGCACTTAGATCAGTAACAGGATGCTAAACAGTTGCTCTGTTTAACTATTTGGAAAGGTCGGAGAGGTAATTTCACAGAAATTAATGTACAACATGCACAAAGGTTGATGTCAATTTATTGACCTCTATTAAAAGCAGGGAGTACCATACAGTTTCCTTTCATGACTTTCCCTGAAGGCCCAGACTTGTGTCACTTATTTTCTGGGTGTACACTCTCCCGGTCTCTCTTGACTCATTCTGGCAGTGGAAAGCAGCTGACAGCAATCCTTGAAGCTCAGCTCTGCAGCGCAGGCTTTAGCAGAGGGTAGGTCACCATGCTGGCTTGACAAAGACACTATAAGGAACAGAATAAGATAGTCCAGTGCCGCCTTGGTCAAGGTCTGCAGATGACGTCTGGATTGGAGTAGTGGCTTAAACGAGAGGCATTGGAGTTCCAGTCTAATCTTTGAGCCCTTGTAACCACTTCTTCCTGTCCGGGAAATCAGTGTGGGCTTTGTTGTACCAAGGAGAAGTGTGTACACCTGCACTGAGGACACTCCTATGTAGCATGGCTATGCTGCAAACTTTTCTCAGGCTGTAGAAGCAATAGGGAGTTTCTGGCAACAAAGGCCTTAGAATAAGCAGATCTCCAGTCCATGTGCTTCTAGCTAATAACATCTCTGTGTCAGAATAATATTCTTCTATACAATACAATGGACAGCAGCACTACCTGGATGAAGAATAGTTTATCTTCTGAAGAGAACAGGAGGAAGAATTTCCTTCTGCACTCAGAACTCCCTGGGAGTAATGCTCTGCAAGTGGTACTTTACTGTTGTGTCAGTCCACTTGCTCAGCAACCTATTTCTCCTGAAGGTGGGATACTTCAGTGGGCATTGCTTACTTCTGGAGCTTCTCCTTTATCTTCTCAGTATGGTTCTGACCATAGTGCATGGGCCTGACTCATGAGGGTAATAAGGAACTAATTCCAAAGAGTCCTTTTAGAGACCTCCTATTTGCTTAGTTAAGAACACATTTTCCCCCTGATATTTGTCAGGGGTACAGCCGTTTCTTGAGGCTATTGTGAAGGACCACTCATCTTTTTTTTGCAACCACAAACTTTGTCAAACTGATTGTGCAGAGCAGGACATATCCCCAGTGGCTAGACACAGGGCACCTCTGAGTCAAAAGCCCCATAGCTCTGCAGGGCAGCACTGTGCTCTCAGCAGCATTGCATAAGCTGCAGCACAGCTCCCTGAGACTGCAGCTGGTGCCATGAATCATTTAAATACAGAGGTTGTCTGCAAAGCATTGTGCAGATGCAGCTGGAGCCTTATCACTGGAGTCTTACACTTTCTAAATTCAGGTACAGATTTTTCATATATATCAGACAGTAGTTTTATTTAAGCATATTTCATGAGATTTGTCTGTTGAAGACAAAATTTTAAGTGTGAATTAATATTGCTCTGTGTAGCCTCCAGAGAAATAGAATCACTAGCTATGACAGATCCTGTGCAGGTTTCTCTGTGGTGCTCCTTCGTCACTTTTACTGCAGTTTGTAACTGCTGGGAGGTATACAGCTGTTCCCACCTTCACCTTACAAAAACTTCATTATTTTTAGTTTCTTCTTTACACCCAGCCCTTTTCCTGTCACCTTTTAGTCTATACATGATTCTCCAACCGGTTTAGGCAGAGAGTTCAACAGGGCATTATGAGTCACGCTTTCCTCTTCATGGTATTTTTGGAACTATCAGAAATCTTTTAAATACATTCTGACAAATTGAAGAAGAAAAAGCTGCAGTTGCCTCATTTTGATTTAACTGAATGTTGAAAGATAAGCAGGGGGGATGTTAGTGTGAAGGAGAATGCACAGAAACAATGCTGCCTTGACTCATTTTCTTGTCCATACTGTGTTGATGTTTCTGGCCTTTAGCTGCCTGAATTGCTTGTCGAGCATGGCTCTGAGATCTAATGCCTCCAACAAATTTCTGAGCAGAACAGAGAAACATGGTTATTTCAGTTCACGTCTATGTGAATGATCTTAATGAAATTGCAGCACTGATGTCAACAGCACTGATGTGGGGTTTTTAAGTGGTTGGAGTTTTAGCAAGGGAAGCAGTATAATTGCCCTTGAGGGGTCTGTGCCCTTTGACAGCAAAGTGTAAAAATACTGGGTTCTGCAAATCTGCCACTCTTCTGTACTCTGGAAAACAGAGAATATAATCTGGTACAACAAGCGCTAGTGTTCTCATAATGTCAGCTGAAGAGGATTACAGCAGAATTGATTTTATGTAATTAAACTTCCCTGGCATAAATAGAGATTGTTTCCTAAAAAGAAAAAAAAAATAGAAAAAGAGAAGTGCCCATGACTGAAGCATTCTCCTTCCTTCCTGCAAGGCAGTTGCTACCTTCCTACATTAAATTAAAAATTGGTAATAGAAACTAATATTGGGAAATACCACTCTCTCACTGATACACAGTAACATATAAGAATTTAACACTTTAAAAAAAATATGTGTTCAGTGTGTAACAATTCCAGCAGAAACAGAAAGCAAAGCTTGACAGATGCCTTGTTTTGGGTCTTCCTGTGGCAATGGAAAAAATAGAACAGCAAAGCATGGCACAGTCCTGCAGTCCTGCATCTTTCCCTCATGTACATATTGATAGGTCTTTCTCAAAGTCATACTGATATTAGATGCATCCTCTGGACACAAAATGACCTTTGCAGAGGAATAAAGGAGAAATCGTTTCACCTTCCAAATTCAAATTTTCAAATGAAACTCTTAAATAGAGTTATGAAGAGGAGTGTGGATTATAGAGGGGATAGATTTCTATTGAGGGGGTAGGATATTATCTGCATCTCTGACTTTGAATGCAGTAATGTCTTTGAGCTTAGAAAATACAAATGAAAAAGCAGCCAATCATGCAAGGCTGAAGAGTTAATTTAAATCTTAATATTACTACATCCTTTTTAATACAACCTGAGCTACATACTACCAAAAATTGTGTCATAGTGTTATTGCAAGGACAGTACTATCAGAACAACTTTTGTGGTACAAATGGGTTCCAAAAGAAAGGGAGAAGAGGTCAAACCTAGGAGAGGTGCAGTTGCTTTACACCAGACCCATCCCTTTTGATACTGCCTGCTTGTGTTCCTGTGTGTTTTCTGCTTCAGCATATTTACATACATACCAAATTACAGCCCAGTTATGGATTTATTGCAGCAAAAGCTGCCTTTCTTCCCACACAAAGGCACACACTCCTTCTGCATGTTTTTTTATCTATTTGCACTGCACATGTTGGCATAGGTCCATGTGCTGCATGTTCTGTGCAGCATGGGGGTACGTGGCATGGCTCTGGTGCTGTGCTGTGTAGCATTCCCATTGCTTTTCACCTCCATTTAGTTCAGGCTCACCATCATCCTTAAAGTGGTATTAACAAGTCTTTTTTGGCAGTAGTGAACACTGAAAGAAAACCTTTGGAAGCAGGTTGCTCTCACCTGCAGCTCCAAGGTCCTAACAGTCTGACAGTAGTTTGCAAAATAGCTGGGTGTAAAACTGGCAAGACTTGATCCCTCTCTTCCATCAATGTAATGTAGATCCTCTTGATCCATATGGTTCATTATGCCTCCTGGTCACTGGGTATTGTGCTGCAGTATCAGCACAGAGACTGTGAAACTCTGTTAGCGCTTACAACGAAGACTTGCATATTTATGTCTTGATATTAAGGTTGCAGAATTAGTCAGCTATGGGAGTGAAAATCCTGCCTTTGCACTGTGGACAATCGAAAGATTCCAGGGGCAGCTGGAACCCATGTAAAGAAGTAAGAAACTGCCATTACTGGCACTAGGATGAGGACAGGCCAATCTGTCATCCTCAGGGAGTGATTGTTAGAGACAAAAGAAACTGAAAGAAGTGCACTCCTGTCAGAATTTACATCATCGGGATCTTGATTGCACACACAGTTTGGGAGGGCATAATTTGCCCATTTCTTCTAGTCCCTCTTCATTCCTGGCAGTCAGTAACTGATGCCAAGTCAGTGCCTACTTGACTTCCTGCACCTACATCCCTCATCAGTGCACAGCCAGCACGACCTGAAGTAGCACTCATGAAGTAGGTGATATTCATGGAATGGGTACAGGCCATTTAACTCTGCAGTAAATCTTAATTTGGGTGTTCAGAAGTCTCTTAGCTTTTCCCCCTAGATGTTTACTCACTCTATCTTTCCATCTTGGTGCAACTACCCTCTTTCTCCCATTATCTGTTCGCTGTATATTAAAGTTCTTGCCTATGTAGAAAACACCTGTCTGCTTTTATTCACGCTATACATTCAAATATCAAAATTAAATAAAAAAATTTTCCTGGTCTTGTCTGCAGTTAAGGTAAAGAGTGAATGCTTCACACAACACAGTTTCCTGGCTGTGTTTACTAACATATATGTTCCTTGTGTTTGAGAGATGCCTTCCTACCTATAGCATCAAATGGAGTGAGGTCATATCAGGAGATCAGATTTACTTGATAGTTTTTCTGGTTTTGTGCCTTACTGCACATCTGAGCTTGATTTAATTTGTGAACTCTGCTGTTACTTATGCAGTTTCCCTGATTTTCACTCATCTCATAAAACAAATAACTAATGTGAATTGTAAACCTTGCATTTTCTGCTGCCTTTGCTCTGTTTAGCAATGCCTTTACTCTTGGATAAAGAATGATCCTAGTCTCTGTGAATTTTCTTGCTAATTAAAATAAGACTGCATAAAGTTTACCTTAGTTTGATTAAAAGAGAAAAGAAATCTAACTTTAAGACAAACTTAAATGAAGTTTAACACAGATAAGAAAAATATTTGAAGTTTTGTTTTCTTCTCATGTATGTATTTTTCCTGTAGAGCCCAAGAAAATTATTCTTGGTCAAGACATATTTCACTTACCCCAGTGTCTCTGTAGCACTTTGCTCTACAGTGTGGTCATCTCAGCCAGACTTTTAGAGCACTGTCATTACTAAGCTAGGAAAGTTTCTATCCTGAATGCTTTCTCTGCATCATCCTTGCCATACTGTTTCATCACCCACCCCTGACTTTGTCCT